TCATAATTATGAGATACAAGTTTTATTTTTTTATCAGGGTGGCGGAAATGGGCTTCCATACATAATTATTATATTTGTAACCTTTTATTTGTATTACTTTTTCATATTTTGACTGACCAAATAATAGTTTCCCGCTTTGCACATGCGCAGTAACTCTACAAATTAGCTTGTTAGCTAGCTAGCATGATAGCTTCGCGGACCGGATGTCGTTATGTTTAGCGATAGGAACAACATCACATGTTGCATTATTCTAGTATTTGGATACATTTCTTCGAAAAGGTCCGATCAGGGCTCGGTTTTAGCGGGTCTAATTCCCAGCAGGGGACGGTGGGAAACGTGTAGTCATCACGTAGGTGTGAAATCCGCTTGTGGGGGGGGGCAGCCAGACGACATGTTTGTTGGCCTCCCATGTTTTTCCTCCCTGTTGACAGTCAGATCCTGTCCTCAGGTTTATAAGGAGGTGTGAGGCCGCTCCATTGTCCCGCGGCTTTGCTTTTGAAATGCGCTGATGAGCTGACATGGAGCCGGCAGATCCGGGCCTGCTATTTGAAGTCGAGCCTCGTAAAGCTGACGGGGGGARCAGTTGGCAGGTTAAACCGCTCCCGGCCCGGGCCTGCTGGGTTTGAAGCCCACAAACCCACTCGTTTGTCTGGTTGTTGTTGATTCAGCTCCTTATAAACACTTGTTTTAAATCAATATGAAAAGAGCAGGATTTATCAYCCTGTTGTTGAAATGCTAACAACAATAATGAAGCCAGCATACCTTGACTTTAATATGTTGAGATGCGTTTTAAATGACTTTAAGCTACTACCACCAAAGTTTTGCCTCAATATGTGTAAAATTCACTGAGTTTGTCTTCAAGATTTGTTTTAATTGTCCATTAGATATTTTGCTAACACCTGTCTTCAGCAAGAGACAATAATTTAAATAAAAGTGCAATCTTATCCAAAACACATCCCAGTAATTTTTCTGTTTATTTCACTCGTTATCTTGCGAAATGATGGAAATCAGAGTTGAAACCAATCCTTAGAGTTTAGCCTTTTTGGAGATGTTAGAAATGATGAAGGACTTGTTTAATATATTTAAAACGCTTTTATCAACAAATCCCTGATTATAATTCTCTCCAGGTGCAGCGTCTGCAGAAAACATGATGTTTGTTGATTTAGTTAAAAATAAAATCTTATTCTTACTTTGAATGCAGAAAAATTAGGATTTTCTTCACTGAAATTGTTGTTAAAATCATATTGAAATGTGTTAACCGAAAAGCTACTTTTTAACATTGCTTATCACAATCTACTTTTCAATTCATGGAGGGATTATCCACTGTATTAGTGTTCCATTAGTCAGTGTTGTATAAAGTACCACAAAGTGATACTTGAGTAAAAATACCAGTGTCTTATCATAAAATTACTTTGGTAAAAGTTAAAGTCTCCTATAAGAGTATTACTTGAGTAAACGTCTTAAAGTATCAGATTTATTTTGTACTTAAGTATCAAAAGTAAATTTCTGACATAAAATGTACTTAAGTATTAAAAGTAAAAGTATTGAGTAAAAATGAGAGGTTAGATTTTCCAAAAACATTTGTTAAAGGYGCGCAGCTGTGATGGATTGTGTACAAACTATGTGCCAGAATGGTAAATATTTATACTTCTCATCCAACCACAATTAAATTCAAAGCCACAGTCTATCGCAATAAATTTTTTAAAACAATAACGAGCCGGAATGAAATAGGAGTAATAATGACTTTCTACTTATTACCTTTTTTAAAAATGTAGGGAGTAGAAAGTACAGATAATTGTACAAAAATGTAATGAGTAGAAGTAAAAGGTTGGCTGAAAAAAATTTACTCAAGTACAGTACAGATGGCCAAAATTTCTACTTAAGTACAGTAACAAAGTATTTGTACTTAGTTACTTTACAACTCTGCCTTTAGTGCATTTATTYATCATTRTGCTCACGTTTAAATCTATCTTGGTTCACTTGGTACAAATTACACGTGTCAATGTGGTGTTAGCTCTTCACTAGTCTTTGCACAAGTTGAAATGTTTACACTGATATTAAGCCGACTGATGTGATCTTAAAGGGTCATTTTACCAAACTACACAAAAATATTTTCTCTTTGTTTTTTTGTTTGTTTGTTTGTTTTTTCTTTATTTGCTGAATCATCCACTGACATGAAAGTTTGCTGTAATATTAAAGCTTAAACTCTTCATCAGGCTCCAGGGAAGCAGCGTTCACCTACGCCATCAGCGCAGCCGGCGTGGTCAACGCCATCAGCCGGGCGTGCCGCGAAGGCGAGCTGTCCACCTGCGGCTGCAGCCGTGCCGTTCGGCCCCGCGAGCTGCCGCGCGATTGGCTGTGGGGCGGCTGCGGCGACAACGTCCACTACGGCTACAGGTTTGCCCGTGAGTTTGTTGACGCCAGGGARAGGGAGAAGAATTACCCGCGAGGGTCGCAGGAGCACGCACGGACACTGATGAACCTGCACAATAATGAAGCAGGGAGGCAGGTAAGATAAACAAAGTAATCTCCTTTTTTTTCCCCTCATCTGTAGTGAAACTGTGGGAACAAAACTAAAGGAAACGTGTTTTTTCCCTTTTTAAACGTATTATATCTGTGTGTCTGTCAGGAATGTGTGTGAAAGGTGAGG